AGAGAGATTTTATAATTCAATTGGCCAAATACATTTGAGTGTATTATAGTTTCATAAATGGTCTGATATGTTTGTCTGTGCCCAATTGTTTGAAAAGTTTGTCCAATTATATTTTGATTGAAATGACATCAAGGATTCAAATAATTAATTAATTTCTATAATTTTGTTTTATAAGTTAAAATTTTGTCAAGATAATTAAGCATAAACTCAGGTCTAGATAGACTCCTGTTAATGGTAAAAAAGGACAGCTGCTCAGAAAAATTTATTCTGGTCTTTATTCACTAATGGCCTTCTGACAAGGTACCCCCAATAAACAGGGCTAAATATGTTGTTATAAAATGTTTACATTGGTTATCATCAAAGGGTTGGATTCTAAATATGTTGTGATATGTTTATAGTGCTCATTTTCAAAATATGATTTCTGTGGAAAAATAGTTACAGTTATATTAAAAAATTATTTTGATACCTAATTAGATTAAAGGTTATGAAGTTTCATACATAAAATTATGATTATTATTAATTTTCTGATGTACTAAATGAATAAAAACTTCACAGGGTATTAAACTATTAATGCTGCTTCAGGAGGCAGGATATAAAGTTTCATGGAAAAGGCTCAAATTTGCATACAGCAAGTCAGAAATCTAGGATTCGAAGTTTCCAAAGAAATCATACTGCTTTAGGGGTGCTCACTCAAGGAGTAGGCCCATAGAATTAGCCAGTGACATATTTATCTTAAGAGTTTGGATCCAGCTGTGAAGGGATAGCTCCCTTGTTTATGAGCCCTGGCAGCTGCAGTTATGCTAATTCAGGAAGCTGACCAGGTAACATTAAAAAAAAAAAAATAGATTGCTCAGTTTCCCCATGCCTTTTAGAACTACTGAATAGTAAGACAATGATGATTCCCAAATAATAGAGTCACATAATATCAGGTCCTCATCTGTGAGAATCCCCACCTATATTTTGCTCTAGTTAAAACCTTAAACCCTGCTACTTTTTGCCCTTGGAACCTGGACCCCTGACCACAACTGCCTCAGGGTCACTGACGAATTGTTCTCCCGTCATCCAGATCTGCAGAAAGACCCGCTGCCTGAGGCTGATTTCATCCTGTTCAAGGATGAGAGCAGCTTCATGGAGAATGCGGTACACTATGCTTGGCTATGCACAGATGACTCAAGATGAAGTGCTCCAAGCAGGACCCCTCCCCACTGCATTGTCAGCTCAATGAGCAGAGCTATAGGCACTCATACAGGCTCTCCAATGGGCAAAAGAAAACAGGGTAAATGTTTATACAGATTCTTGTTTGCCACTTGGTATATCTATGGCACAGTCTACATAAGTGTGGTCTTCTCACAGCAGAGGGCAAACTTATTAAAAATAAACAGGATATAATATAGTTATTTGAGGCAATGTGGAAATCTGACAAAGTAGCTATAATAATTAAAGAAAGAAAAGATGCAATAGCAAATGGCAATGCTAAGGTAGATGTATAAGCCAAAAGGGCCACTAAACAGAAACTTTAGATGATTATACCCACCCCCTGTAAAGGTTATAAATATGTGTTAGTATGGATTTGTACTTTTCTGGATGGCCTGAGGCCTTCCCTATAAAAACAAAAAGGGCTTCAGAGATATGCAAGATTTTATTTAAAAAATTCCAAGGTTTAGTCTGCCTCTCTCCATAGGCAGTGTTAATGGGCCAGCATTTGTAACATAGGTTGTACAAGATCTAGCTAAACTGTTATACTGCTTATTGACCTCAGAGTTCTTGTAAGGTTTAAAAAAATGATGAATTTTAAATTAAATATTGTCAGATAACACCGGGTTATAAGTTGATCAGCTCCCTTTGGCCTTCTTTAAAATAAGAGATACCCCAAGTTATAGTGGGTTCTCCCCATATGAGGTCTTGTATGGAAGGCCACCCTATATCTTGAGAGACTTTATAAAATTCCACGGACTCTGACTCCAGGAGACAATGCACTCAGTGCCCTGCTCTCACCACACCAGAAGATGGTGAGTCCACACACGGCTTAAGAATGAGAACTGCAATCAAGATATGGACTCTTATATTGTGTCAAACTGTTGTGAGCTATTATGCTTTTGAATTAAGAGTTTATGAGCCTACAGATGATAAAAATGTGACCTTCATGTGTTCTGGGGATCCTAGCCCCCAACTTATCTGTCTAAAAATATGCCTTTATGAACTGCTATGAACCCTTAGCTAAAAATTTAAGTAAAATGATGAATCAAGAATTTGATTCTACCTAAAACCAGTGGGGAATGTGGGACTGCATAACTTTGCAATCTTAAGTAAGTTCCTAGTCTCAACTGTGATTAATGTAAATTAACATGTGACCCTTAAGTATTTCTGGGTAAATAGATAAAGATTGTTTAACTCCTAGAAAAAAAAGAAAAAAAAGAAATCAACCAATAATAAAGCTGGTGAGACTTCAGGGATAAAAGAACCCTTCTTCATTGTTGGTGGATTGTAAACTGATACAATCATTACCGAAATTAGTATGGAGACACCTCAAAGAACTGGAAATACAAAACCCTTTTGACTCAGCTATTCCCCTTTTAGGTATCTTCCGAAAAGAGTCAAAGTTATCATACCACCATAAAGTATGCACACCCATGTTTGTGGCAGTACAATTCATAGTAGCTAAATTTTGAAAGCAGCCTGTACGTTTATCAATGGATGAATAGATAGAGAAAATCTACTTATACACAATGGAGTACTGCCAAAAAGAAGGATAAACTGGAGGCATTTGTAGGAAAAATGGATGTACCTTGAGACCATAATGTTAAGTGAAGTAAATATTATCAGACATGTAATATTCCATGGTTTCTCTTGTATGTGAAGCTCAATACATAAATAAGGTGCAATATAAAAGACAGATAATAGAAAAAACAGAGAAAAACAGTCACTGCAATCCAACATGGACAATGTATCTGAAAAGAGTACCTTGATTTAGTATAACTGTTTTAAGTGTTTTATATGTGTTTTTGGCCTATTAGTCTGGTTGTTAATCTGTATGTATGATAATTAACTTTATACGGACTTATAAGTAAATGTATCTGATGCCGGCAAAAAGGAGGGATATGGAGGGGAAGGGAAAAAATAGAATTGAGATATGTAATGTGCATTAACATTTCCCACAATGAATGCAATAATGTACAACATTTACTCATGAATATATTTTAAAAAGGAAAAAGAAATTGATTTCACAGTCCTAGTCCCTGAAACCCATTAATATGTTACACAACAAAAAAGAATTAAGATTGCAGGTAGAATTAAGATTACTAATCATTCATCTTAAGATTAAGACATTATCCTGGGTTATCTGAGTGGACCCAATGTCATCATGAGGGTATAACAGTGGAAGTGGACGCAGGGGATGTGGCCATGATGAGAAAAGGCACACTGTGTTGCTGTCTTTGAAGACAGTGGAAGAGACCACAAGCCAAGGAATGTCAGTGGTCCCTAGAAGCAAAACAGGCAAGGACATGGATTTCCTCCTTGAGTCTCCTGAAGGAAACATGGCCCTTTCTATCCTCCTGAAGAAGACAACGCTTGATTTTATCTTAGTGACACCTATACCACACTTCTGAATTAGAGAACTGTAAGATAATAAATGCGTGTTACTTTGTGCCATGAAATTGGTGCTAATTTATTACAGCAGCAAGAGGAAGCTAATATAGAGACAGGAGGGGGAAAGGGTAATTACTACTCTCTAGATGAAGGAGAGCAATTTCATGTTGCTCTGCCATTCCCATTTACCTGGGAAAAAGCATCTAAAGGACTGGCCAACAGAGTCCCCTGACCTATAAGATGAGAGAGACCAAGGTTGGCTTTCATATTCCTCACTCAGACCTGAGTCTCAGTCCAGCTGTGGCACCACATGGTAGGGAGAGAGCTCAAGAGGAACTTGCCACAGCCAGGGACCAGTGCAGTGTTGCAGCTCCAGACCAAGCACTCTACATCAACTGCCAATGGCACAGGAAAAGGCAATAATCACATGTCAAAGATACTTAGCTAACACCATCCACAAATCCATCAGCTATGACCCTAAACAAGGAGTCTACAATCGTGGGAAGAAAACCATGACAGTTTCAGGCCAGAAAGACTGCTTCAACTGTGTCTGGTTAAGAAAGGAAACTGTTCACACTGTTTTCAGTCATGGCCTGAACTGTAAAGCCTACTCATGCTAGCCTGGCTAGGAAAATAATTAACTCCACTGAAACTAGATTTCTCATCTATAAAGCAATAGCTGCCTTGGCTCTCTGCTTTCTAACACAATAACTGTAGTAGTCTAAGAAGCCTAGAGTATCCCAAAGAAACACAAATGTGCTCTGTAAAATGCAAATTAAAGATCTCCATTTTAATTGTGTACAAAAAATAGGCCTAACACTGAAGATTAACTCCCATTCAGACACTGTGACACTGCCAGCAAGTGATACGTGGGTCCTCTCTAAGAAACTCATGTTTAGTGTAGATGTCAAAAGCAGCTAAGTCAACAAATGATTGCCACAGCCTTAGTTTTTCCAATTCCTCCCTTTTGGCCCACAGGTAACTAGAAAGATGTAATGTGAAAAGCACAGGACTAACAGTGAGAGGATAAAGTTCAAGTTGTCACTCCTTTACTTCCTGGATACTGAAAACTTGCAAGCCCTTAACCCTCTGAGCTGCTTGGCTTTCTCAGCTACAAGAGGAAAGATCATGAGAATTCATTTCTCAGAAGCTATCCTTAGCACAAAATGAGTTTGCGAATGGAGAAGATCTATATGGCCCTGGTCAGTACAATGATGGTGACTGAAATCCAAGGGTAGGGGTGTGATCAGCTAGCTTCTGAGATTCGGGTTATTTGTCAAAAGGGGGACAATAGTGTGAGATGTGCTCTGGACTCCGTGTGTGACAGCAAAGGAGTCTGTAGCTGAAAGGAATACCAAAAAGCAGTACATTTCTCACCCAAACTTCTGCTGCCACCTCTCATGTCCTCTTACCTTGAAGGAGGCATGCTGTTCCATGTGCCGCAGCAACTGTGGCTTCTGGGCCGCTGTGTAGTCACACACTGTGCACTTGAACTGCTTTCCTGGAAAGAAGCAGAGGACAACAAGGTGAGCACCACCAGGATGCGAGCTCCTGCATGCGAATGAGGGCCAGAAATGGAGCCAGGCATACACTGATCTCTTGCCAGATAAGAGATCAGAATCTCAAAGGGGACCTGGAAAGATGAGCACAGATGCACTAGCAGGTGCTCAGTCTCCACCAGGTAGGAATGGGAAGGAGATCACCAAGGAGGAAAAGAAATGGTGAGCTTTGCCTGGGAGCCCAGCTAAGCAATAACACTCAAGCAGCCTCATAAAGAAAGAGGAAAAGTGTGCCCAGCTGCCTAGAGAGAAGGGCAATGAGAAAGCAGGGTGCACAGAGGTGAAAGGATGCTCAGAGGAATGGATCAGAGGGTGGGAAAAGGCTGGGTCTTCCTTCCACAGTGTGAGATCTGCAGCAAGTCAAGAGCTGAATGGAAAAGCTGGTCCAGAACACCAGGACCTTGACCACTTCACAAGGGAGCCCAGATGTGATCCTGAATCAGAAGAGTCTGCAGAATGACATTTACAAGGGGAAAGACCTGTGCTGCAGCGCTCCTAACTATTATAGGTATACAAATAGCACTTTTGAGAGTATGCCAGGAAAAAACACTATTAAAAAATGTAAAACCTAGCTCTCTTAAGAAGAGTAATGATTCAACAAAATGTAAATATTCAATAATGGTGTGGACAGGACTACACATTGAAACAAATTAATGGCTATACAGGTCACAGCACACTGTTTTTTCCTGATTAACATAAACAAAAACCTCCATTTGCAGTAATACAAGACATATGCAACCAAATAGAAATATGATCGACTTCTTGTCATAGGAAATGGTTCAACAATCAGCATGGTGCAATGGTGCAAGCATACTGGGAAACACGACCTGAAGTGTAGCTCCCCAGAAACACTGGCTCCTCCAGAGTGCTCTCAGTCTTCTACCTGTCAGCCAGAAAAGTCAGACTCACCTGTAGCTGCAGCCTCTTACGTTTCCGTGCTGTGCACTTCTGAAGCCAACAAACACTGGCTGATGCCACCAATCCACCACAAACCTGTTCTCATTAAGGTAACCAATGAACTTCATGAGGCCAAGCCAGTGGCGGACAACAGTTGCTGATTTCACTGGGTGAGTCTGCTACCGGTCCGTGCTCTGGATATCTGCTCGTTTGGACTCACGACACTATAGCCTCTCTGGGACTCTCTGACCACTCATCCCGAGTGTCCCTGCGGCAGTATCACTTGTCCATCATCCTTTACATGTTGATGTCCCAGGGTTCTAGCTCAGGCTCCTAGTCTTCCATAGCAAGCATCCTTGCACAGGACTGCCTTCTACAAGTTTAGACAAACTTTGATGCCAAAATGTGCATCTTCTTCTCTGAATGCTCCCTGTATCTGAGATTTGAGTACCCATCATCTGCTGAACTGGACACTCAGCTGCCCCAAAGGTCCTAAGCTTCACTAATTCACTTCCTCACAAGGTGGGTTCCACTTCCAACCCTCCCAGGTTAGCCTCCATCTGATCGGCCACCTGGTAGCTTTCCTTAAGATCTCTATGGCCTTAACTTATACTCATCTCATTTTTTTCAGCACTTGATTCAATCTCCTATTTCTATGTCTGTCTATTTCCTTCTATTTTTAATTCATCCTCACTGGTTTAGGTCCTTCTCATTCTTTTCCTAAGCTACTGCAAAAACCCTACACTGTTTCTCTTGTGTGCAGGACTCTTTCCCAGCCATCAATCCATCCATCCACATGCACATCCTTTTCCCATAACCCACCAATGTACCCAATTACCTAACAAAGTTGAAGTCCCACAGCACAACACAAAAGGTTCTTCAGAATCAGAACTAATAATGCTCCCCACCCATTTCTCTGACTTCCTCTTGCACTTGTTCCCTCCGTATTTAGATTCTGTAACACAGCTCCTTACACTCTCACAACTTTCTGCCTCACCTTGATAGTCTCAGGCCCCTAAGCTTTTGCTAAAATCTTCCATGTCTGGGGTGAATTGCCTCGTGGCAAATGGCCATTCTTCCCTCAGACTCAAAACTCAAGCTGAACAACGTCTCTGGTGACTGGGCTCACAGCCATCCCCTCTGCACACCCCCACTACACACTGGTCACAGCGCAATCTGTGTCGCAGCTCTACAGCATTTTGCCACGAGCTGCCCCTGGGCAGGAACTACATCTTACTCCTCTCGGTGACACCAGCACTTGAGTGTGTGCACATCCTGAACATGTTCCATGCACTTTATTAAGCTGAACTGTACAAGAAACCAACAGGAAAGTTTGTACATCTCACATGAACAATGCTCTTGATAATAACAGGGAAAAAAAACCCAAACCAAATGGTACAAACACATGAATAATACAGTTATACCTATCATCCTAAGTGAAAGAGCCCAAATTCTAGACTTTACTAATTCTTCATTTCCAATGTAAAGGGAAGGTTTTCTTTTCACATTTTGAGGCACACAGTTGTAACTACAGAGCAATTAAAGTTTTTTCTTAAACTATGATCCTTTCCTAACAGATAAGGCATGCACTTGTACACATCTTTAGTAGAGTCAGCCACACATACCTCCCCGCTCTAATATATGATGTAGATGAATCATCACTGTGCCAGACAGCTTGAGAATAATGATGTTTGGGTTCTCCATACAATGGCGGCGTACAGTGTATGAACAGAACCATTCTCTGAGATGATAAACATTTTTTCATTTAGTATCAAACACTCAGATCACAGAGTCAAAGATAAATGCTAAGAAGCAGCCCAGAAATGAATGAATAGAATCGCCTCCTCTGAGATCAAAAGGGAGCCTTTGGGCAGATCTGTAGTATCAAGACTCTGCAAGAGACACGAAAAGAAAGCAAATCCTGAAAGCTGTTGCTGACAGAGGCAGCAGAGGCCTGGAAGTAAATAGCAGCAAAATTTCCAGGAACCACTGACAGCCCAAGTCAAACAGTCCTGGGAGAGTGTTTGCCATAATCATCTGTTGCCTAATTAAAATAGTGGAATGCTAATTTATAACTAATCATAAATGGAGCAATGTTTTGAGACTGTGAGGGTGTCTTCTATAAAGAGACTCCTAAGAATTACAGAAGAGTGGACTGAAAGACCTAATATTTACTCAGATCAGACTGACCTTGCAGGGCTGGCAAATGAACATCAGATTGAAGTATGTGGATGCAAATCACAGAGAATTCCAGGAAAAGAGAACAAAATTACAAATTTTAAAAAAGAATGATTTTTTAAATCATTCACATTTCATATAATCTACCTAGCTAGGTCCACCTCCTGAGCTACTGGACATCATGACCTACACCAGACTGGGTGTGTAGTGACCCTGTGCACGCACGCCTAGGACCCGGATAACATTAACTGTTCATGTATGGGGAGCTAGGATTGTGAGTTTAACCTGCCAGGTCAGGAAGTGGGAAGCACTGGATCCAGACCCTAGTCTACTCCATCCCAAAGCCCCTATGCACAGCCACCTATAAATCCTTTCAGCTAATGAGGGAGAGATGCATTTTTCTCCCAAAGGAAAAAGGAATGTACACCAGCAATGGGAACATGTGTACCACTCACATAAAGGGAGCTTGCCCAATGGGCTGGCTATCCATTAGCAAGGGCCACCAGAAAGGGGCCAATGGTAAGGGAAGTGTGTCCCAAGTCACCCTGTGCAACCCTGGGCTCTTTCTTCTCTGCCACTCAGAGGTCCTGTTAGAAATAATGAGGAGGGGATCCCTGCTGCAGGGTGGGCTTGGGCACAAGCTCCTGGAACACAGCCCCAAAATATGAGGCTGGGGAATGAGGGAGACCCAGCAGCAGAGCCTCACTACAGTAGTCACCATGGCCAGTTGGCAGTGAACCTTGGTCGTGCTGCTCTCTACCTCCCTTGCCCTCTCTGAGATGATCTAGGGAATCAGTTCCAATTAAGCCGGCCTAAATCAATACCCCTAAGGCAAGATGGAGCAGGGGGAAATGCCCGTAAATTGTAATAAAGTGTAAGCAGTTATAATGGTAGAGTTTTTAAAGGCCCTCTGCTCCTCCCCAGCAGGCTCTCTGCCCGTATCCACCCAGGTCAAAACCTTCCAGCCTGACGTTGACTGGCAGGTTCTCTGCCGGCTCAGCATCCTTAAGTCTTCATTCGAGTGTCACCTTCTCCCCAAATCCTTCCAGAGCCATCCTGATTAAAATGACAGCCCCACCTCCTTCCTGATTCATTTTTAGCATCTTAAAGCCTATGATATTTTTATATTGAACCTGAATCATTTCATATTCATATCTTTACTTTTGTACCTCAATTTTCTCAACATTTGAAATGTGTTCATATTTCTGTTATGATGCAGCATTATTTTTATTGATTTGTAGTATATCTGTCACCTGTCTCAGGAGAATTTTGGGCATCATGAGAGTGGAGGGTTTTGGTTTCTGCTTGCTGCGATTGGTGGTGTCACCTTGGTAACCAAATTGTCTAATGGCCAACGCAGTTAACTGCCTGGTCTTTGATCTGTTTGGCACCCTCGCAGATTGTGGACACCTCAGGGCCACAACTCAGTGCTCTTCCTCCCATATTCTTTAAGTGCTGAGCAGTGAGGCCACACTGCAGATAAGGCCAGCAGGAAGTGACAAGAGCACCTGGTCAGAAGTCTGTCAGCCCCTACTTCTAATCCATATCAACACCTATGCAGCGAGAACAACAGTACTGTTACACAGCCTGTTCATGGCCACCAAACACACTCGGCCTCAGCCACAGGCCACCAGACCATAGTGCGCAAGTGGCCCATGCTTTCGAGGAGCTTGTCACCTAAATGATGGCCAGCAGGGATGCCAACAGATAATTACAAATTACAATGTGTGACAGAGGCCGTTGACAACAAAGCAGTGCTAGAAAGCAAGGTGGTAGCATGGGTATGGGATAGGACAAGGAAATGGTGCTTAGCTGAAATGCAAGGATGAGCAGACCGTCACAAGGGGAAGTGAAGACGGTTTTGGGA